AGATAGCAAGAAGGCATTTAGACATGTCTGCAGTTCAGAGGCGAGATCCAGGCTGGAAATATAAATTTGGGAATGGCGATTGATACTGAACGTGTGTGGTGGGAATTAGAGGATTTGGGCGAGGTGAGGGAAAGGAAAGAGGCAGGTGGAACTCCAAGTTTTTGGCCTGGGCACTTGGGTACTTGGCACTTGTTGGAAGTGCCACTTTCCACTGGGGAACACAGATGGCCTGGAGAAGAAGCCATATTTTGCATGTGATGACTTTAAGACATTTATGTAACTGGAAGTGGAGATGATCTAGGAGATTACACAGCCTAATTTAATCCTTTTGTAGGTGAGGAAACTGAAGTTCCAGAACAGCTAGCTCTACTGGATTGCCCAGTGCTCTTTCTGCAGTACTAAGGCACCTGTCATTACAGGGAAGGCATGACACTAACAGACACAGTTTCCTAATTCCGAGCTTGGCCCTGTCCTCCCCAGACACTAAAAGCTTTGAGTGATCAGATCAGCTCTAAGGTCAAGTGGGGATTCCTATCTACTCCTCTCCATTCTTCTTTGGGGAAGAATTTGTTGTCCCTTGTGGATTAAAACTATCTCAATGCTGACCTATAGTTTCACACTTCAGCATTTTATTTAGTCTAAGGAAACTTTTTTTTTTTTTTTTTTGAGACAGAGTCTCGCTTTGTTGCCCAGGCTAGAGTGAGTGCCGTGGCATCAGCCTAGCTCACAGCAACCTCAAACTCCTGGGCTCAAGCGATCCTACTGCCTCAGCCTCCCGAGTAGCTGGGACTACAGGCATGTGCCACCATGCCCGGCTAATTTTTTTACATATATAAATCAGTTGGCCAATTAATTTCTTTCTATTTATAGTAGATACGGGGTCTTGCTCAGGCTGGTTTTGAACTCCTGACCTTGAGCAATCCGCCCGCCTCAGCCTCCCAGAGAGCTAGGATTACAGGCGTGAGCCACCGCGCCCGGCTTAGTCTAAGGAAACTTTATATATTTTTTTACTTCATTTATAATTTTGTCTGAATAAAGGAAACTTTAGACTGTGGTAATATAGGGCCAGGGCGGGCTGGACCTTTTTCAGGAGAAATAACTGGGTGCATCTAGATTGCAGCATTTTATTCCACTTTAAAATAATTCTAGGTTCAATAGTCTCTCAATTGCCATCAGAGGTTTCTATTGGCTGATTTTGGAATATTGTTTGAATTCCAAGGAAAGCCTGGGCAAAAGAAAGTAGAGGGTGTTTAGGGCAATCACTCAACTCTCTTAGAATTCCACTGAGGCTGTATGATGGGAAGGTCAGTAACCCGGAGGTCAAGTTCTCAGTTTGATCTTTAGCTGTGTGATTTTAGGTAAGTTGCTTGGCCTCTCTGGGCTACAGTTATCTCATCTATACAATGAGAATAATGATGTCTTCTGCGCAGAATTGTCCCACAGAGTAAATCTATCACCAAAGCCTGGGAGAGGAAGCTCTTAATTGTTCCCTTCTCCACAATAAGATCCCTTTAGTCACCGGCCGAGTCACACTGCTGAAGATGTACCAAGCGTCGATTTCAACCCTTTTACTTGCCTAATTCCCCACTCTTTTTAATCCTCATTCCCAATAAAAAGACTAGCTTTCTGGCAAGTGGCATAGGGATGGAGGTGAGGAGGAGTATTTTTGAAGGAAGGCATGGGAATATTCTCAAGGGAATAGAAGAGAGGCCAGCGAGTTCCAGCTGAGTGTGAACAGTCGCATGGCAGGGCCCCATGGTGACAGTGAGGGCCCAGAGGAAAGCTTTGGGGTTGCCCAGGGAGGCTGGGCTCCCTGCAGCAGTCAGGATTTCTGGGAGAGCCATTTGTCGTCAAGGGATCCCCTGGTTTGGGACCACGGAGTGTCCTGATAGTTGACACTTCTTTCCCCATTGACCTGAAGACAGCAGAAGGCTCTTAGATCCTCCTCGGTCCTTCAGAAGTAGCCCTATTGACGACTGAGATGGATTTCCCCACCAGACTGTTGAGAGGCGGGTTCAGAGTTAGGATTAACTTCATTCAAATGACATTCACAAGTTTTCAGACTTTGAGTCTCAGGAGTAATTGCCTGATGTTAGTGAATTAGAGTAAGCCTTTTTTTTTTTGAGACAGAGTCTTACTCTGTTGCCCAGGCTAGAGTGAGTGCCGTGGCGTGAGCCTCGCTCACAGCAACCTCCAACTCCTGGGCTCAAGCCATCCTCCTGCCTCAGCCTCCCGAGTAGCTGGGACTACAGGCATGCGCCACCATGCCCGGCTAATTTTTTCTGTATACATTTTTAGTTGTCCGGATAATTTCTTTCTTTTTTTTTTTTTTTTAGTAGATACGACGGGGTCTCACTCTTGCTCAGGCTGGTCTCGAACTCCTGAGCTCAAAACGATCCTCCCACCTCGGCCTCCCAGAGTGCTAGGATTACAGGCGTGAGCCACCGCTCCCGGCCGAGTAAGCCTTTAAAAAAAAAAAAAAATGCAGAGAACAAAATTCCAAATCCCCACATTCACCTTTCCTGCAGAGTGCGGGCTCCAGACCACCCTAAGGCTCTTCTTCTGGGTTCCTGCTACCACTGCTCTGCTCACAGCTGCTCAAGTCCTGCAAACGATGCCTCCTGCGCAGGGTCCCTGTGGGAGTAAACGGCCAACTGTGCCTGGCACGTGATTAACATTCAATAAATGGGACGCACCACCAGTCTGCCAGCATCCTCTCCAAAGAAGTAATGCGTATTTCTCATGATGGTTAATGCCAAGGCTCATTCAAGTTTTGATTTCTGACAAGCACTTTTGGAGCCAAAATATGGCCATTGGGAAAAGTCATCAGTATACTTAGGTGGGTTTCAGTGAACTTACTGGAGTTCGTTAAAGGCTTTCTCCAAGTCTGCTTCGCTGGCAGGTGGCCGGCAAGCTGGAACAGGTACGACTTAATCAGAAGAACAGACAAATGAAATACATTTCAAAGTGAGTGAGAAGCTGATGGGAACAGGCTCTCCACTTTCTAGCGCCATTCTCTGCTAATCAGGGCGAGTGTTTAAGGAGATCTGTAAATTCTGTGGATGTTTAACTTTGGAGTGCTGCCGTAGTATGGCTGAAGTATGGAGGAGAATCTGTTACATTATTTGAATATAATGTTTTGGAAAGCAAGGATTTTGGACTCATATGTATTTACATCAACTAATTGCAGAATACAGTCCGACAGCAACTGTATTTTGATCCTTTGTATTAGAAGAAGGTAATTAATGGGAAAGAGGGAGGATTTATCGTAGGGACGACGCCTTCTGAGAAATTGTCTTATCTGTTACAGAATCAATAGCAGAACCTTCCTTAAAGAGATTACCATATGATCCTTATAATCCGCAGTGGCACTGATGAGATTACTCGGTGAGTGAGCGAATTAATATAAGTCAAATGTTTAGGACAATAGGCGACATAGGTTGAATAAATATTCATTTTTGCTTAGAATCTGGGTCAAAATCTTTCTCCATGAAAGCTTCTGAATCTAAATGTAGCTCATTTGCTACATTTCATAGGGACTAGCGGTTCTGCCTTGTATGTTTTCTGAGTATGAACTTTCTAACATAAAGATCAAAGTTTCACTTTATGTGTATGTCTGAAATAGTCTTGAAAATATTTTTCTTTAATAGAAACCCAAGAAACATACTTATATTTTCAATTTATAGATCTGCTCTTATAGTGCCATCTTACCGAGCCTCACACCCAAGAAATTTCCAGACACTTAAAATAAAAACACCTTTCATTACATAATCCATTTTCCTTTCATTTGAAGGTTAAGCCATGTTGTGTTTAAGATAAAAAAATGGAAACACCAAATGTTAAAGTTTGATCCATTTATTATTATTGCCATTTGTGGGTACATTCTCCCAATTCTTTGCCTTAAATCCCAATGATGCTTTTATTCTTGCAACACGCGTCCATTTCTAGTTTCCTTGTGCTGAAATGTTTGGCATTGGAATGTGAGGTATCGCTCAGGAAACAGAGTGGTAATGTGCAGGATGAAATGTTTGAGAGATCATGAAGTTCACTGTGAAATGCCCCTAGACACAGTCCTTCATTCTATTTAGGGAGCTTGAAGTTTCTGATTGTATGTAGAAAATGTGAATTATATAAAATTCAAGTACAATTAAAAATAAAAATATATCTTAAAGAAACATTCATAGTATAAATTTTGCAAAGCCTTCAGATGAACACAAAGTCTTGGAAATGATTTGAATAAAATTGCTTTTGTTCTTTTTTCATATTTCCTTCAGTGACATCGGTATCTGTCTATGTCATCAGCTTTTAGCTAAAGAACAAACAAGTGATAATAAATGAAGATTGACAGAGCCTTAGAAAGTGATACTGAAGCGAAAAGATACACTAGGGAAACAAAGTTCAAACATTCAATTCTGTTAATATGAGAAATCAAGCTTAAAACCTGATGAATCGGTTTTAGAGACTTCCTTCCGTACTTTTATATCAGGATGGATCTGCATCAATCCTAACATGAAGTTTTTGTTTTAAACTGACCGGAAATCGTTCAGGAAGATCCTAAAAGAAGATCTGAAATAATGAGGAAATTAATATTAAGTGCATTTGTAAAATACCTTCTTTTAAAATATTTATATTTAATTTTTCATGTATCATGGTCATCGTTCATCTTAAACAAGATTAAGAACTTTAAGTTCTACTATGCATTCTTTTTTTTGAGACAAGGGTCTCGTTTGTTGCCCGGCTAGACTTGAGGCTATAGCGTCAGCCCGTCACAGCACCTTCAGTTCCTGGGCTCTAGCAATCCTTCTGCCTTCAGCTCCTGATAAGCTTGGCGCACTACAGGCATGCGCCACCATGCCTGGCTTTTTTCTAGTATATATTGTTGGCAATTAATTCTTTCGTATGTTTATGAGTAGGAAGGGGTCATCGCTCTTGCCATCAGTGGGCGCACGGGGCCTGCGGGGCTCGACCGCCGGGTGCCGTTTCGAATCCTGGACCTCGGAGCAATCCTCCTGCCTCGCATCCAGCAGTGCGTAGCGATGAAGGTGTGGCAACGTGCCGGCCTGCCATTCTTTGATGATATTCCATTTCCTTTTCAAAAGGAAAAGAAAGGAGGTGTAGCTTTGTTTAGGGTAGGAGTGATCTGAAATACTTAGTTTTTAAAATAAATATATTCTTACATTTTTTCAAAAGATCTAAGAGAGGAGGTAAACAGAACTGAACAGTTGAGATACTAAGGGTTTTTTTCTTTTTATTTACAAAAGAAACCTGATGTTGAAAAGGAAGTGAGAACAGGAGCTACTTTTATACTTTATAATCTAGAATACAATATTAAAATGTTCCACGAAGAGAGTGAGGAAGTAGAATTGCTAAATGAAAATGCAGAGATCACATTTGGTTTGGGGTATAATGCTGAACAAGTTATTTCACCTTTGAGTTTAAATGCCTCATGTCTAAATGGAAAAATTAACACCTATCCTGCAGTGTTCCTATTGGGAATCAATGTGTTCGTGTAAAATGCCTTGAACGGTGAGGGACACTAGCAGGTCTCATCTTTTTTCTTCTGACTCTCTATTTAAGAATATTTAGAGGCCGAGGCGTGCAGTCGTTTGAGTTCAGGAGTTCGAAACCAACCTGAGCAAGAGCGAGACCCCGTCTCTACTATAAAAATAGAAAGAAATTAATTGGCCAACTAATATAGAGAAAACTAGCCGGGCATGGTGGTGCATGCCTGTAGTCCCAGCTACTCGGAGGCTGAGCAGGAGGATGGTGGCAGCAGGATTGGAGTTGGAGGTTGCTGTGAGCGAGGCTGATGCCACGGCACTCTAATCTGGGCAAACACAGTGAGACTCTGTCAAAAAAAGTGTGTCATGATGAGACATTCTTTAACCAGTGGTTTCCCATCTTGGCTATGCATCAGTTACCTGGAAAGTTGTTATGTCTCTCTAGCCCAGGCCACACTCCAAATCCACAG